CTTGCGTTGTATTTCTACTTGATTGTATTAGATGCAGAATTAAATTCTCTATCGAACGGTACTATTTTTGATCGGGTTCATCGAGTAAGAACAGGTAGTATTGCCAATTCAATTAAAGTCAATTAACTATATGTAATAAATTGATTATTCTGTGTTAGTATCATGCAAAAAGGTGTGAAGAACCTATGAGAAAAATCTAGATACATTTTGTCTGTTATCCAATAAAGTGATCAAGGTAGAAAATCAGTCAAGACGGGTTTAAATGAAGATTCGAGAACATGTTTTTTGATGAGTTTTTCTCATTTTTTTTTAATGTATGAAAGACGGAAAAGATGACACTATCGATGCATAAGTTCTTACTATGTTTCTTTAAGGTATTTTATGCTTTTATTTAACTTATTGCTAAGAACATCGCTTTGACTACGTTACATACTGAACAGTTTTTACTGAACTCTCTTCTCTCGATAGATGTGAAAGAAGTGAAAAATCCTGCAAACTATTCCATGTTCATGATTTGCATCACAGAAGTTTTTTCTAGCGGAAGATCAGAGCTGACTTTTGTTCAAAAAGAAACTACTGATAGCTTGAAAGACGACTGACTTATTGACAAAACATCAGACAATGCACAGACGCGAATTATAAAAAAGTTCCTGAATCTAAAATACTATTTCGTATTTAGAAATATCACTTCAGAATATCAGCATAATGATGTTTATTTGTATTTCAAGCAGAGTTATTCAGAAAACATCCGAATGTATTATATTTTGAAATGAATGGTATTAAGTCTTTTTCTGTCAAGGCAGAATTGTGAAAACCTTTTTTCTTCCAATTTTCTCGGTAATGCTTGTTTTGAACCTCAGAGAGCTTCATCTGAAGCAAATGTTTTACAAATCGGTGAATACGAGATAAATTTATTTTATGCTGAAATAATCTAGAATTAAAAACCACATAAATCCTGACGATGTTGTCCTGAAATTTTCCTCAAAAACTTCGTGTTTTATCTTCTGCGCTTTATTCCAAATGAAGTAGTCAGCAACAAAAACTATGCAAGTGTATCTCGGACTGCAAGTTATAGCTGAAACAAATAACTTTCAGTACGTCGATGTATGTGTTAATATGAGCCTCCCAAAAGGTCGTGTCTGTGCGTTACCAACTTCTTCGGCGCTAAAGCACTTGGACGAAAAACCAATATGTGCATTAGATAACCCATCAAAAATAAGCGAAAGATTAATGAGAGTTTAAAAATAAATCGCTAAATAAACTCGATTTTCGGTAACGCGCAGACATCCATTTATTCTAGTTTTCAAAAGATTTTTCTCATAGCAAAAACGATCTGGGAAGCTTTTAAATAGAAGATAAGAAAGCCGAGACTCACTGCTTCAAATCATGTAAGATAGATTATCACTTTCGTTCTTTCGTCGTATACTTTTTTCTTATAGCATGATCGATTTTGTTTGATCCATGTGTTTTCGTTTAATAAGCATGAACAAATAGAACAGAAGACAGCGTCCTATGCAGAAAAGTGTGCTTTACTGTTTGATGATTTTTTAATTTGCGTACTATTAACTTCTACTTTAATCATAGTGGTCAACCGTTAGCCGTTGTTCTTGAGCGGTCTTAGTGAATGACAACATTGAAAAAGGCAACAAGATAGTTTTCTTTCATACCTTAATCAAACCCATTCAACAACATCATACCGAGTACCCGAAATATCATAGATACGCAAAATGTTAGGAACAATTATTGTTTCACTAGTAATCCTTTTTATTCTACTACACGTTAGTCAACAGCAGCAACCATCGATACGACAAGCTTATTTTAATATCGTACCAAATAGTGAATATTATTCCGCTACTAGTTTTATCAAAACCTTTTCATCTGTTCCGAATATACGCAAATGTACAATAAAATGTTTTTGCTATTCATCCTGTCAAACAGCTGAATATTATCCCAATGAACTAATATGTTCGTTGTATAGTGATTCCCTAGATAACGGAATAATTTCATTTGCAATAAATGCTCAGACCATTTATTTATCAAGTGAGACAATGAAAACAAGCTCCGCAGATCCAATAGCAGCGCTAACAAGTGGTTTGTATCAACTCAGTTTGCTTAGCTACTAATACTATCCATCAAAATATGTTTTAGTCACTGCTGAAACAACAGTAACAATGACATATAATACTCCATCAAGTTCAATAACAGCAACGAGCGTTTTTACATCTGCTACATCAAAAACATCGACAGGTACTATAAATATGCACATACTTAGGTCAAACAAATCGTGTACGATCGTATCTGAATCACAGAAAATCGTATCAAATCGTATGAAAATCGTATATGAATCGTGGTAGCTGGTTTTGTCTTCAGGATCGTATAATACGATCGTAGTAGATCATATACGATCATACAACTTTGTATGAAATCGTATAGTACGAACCAGAGGACAAATCAAACACCACCGTACATAATCGTATAAGATTTCGTGGGATTCGTATACGATCTTGTACGACCGAATAGTACGATTGTGTCAACTGGGTAGCAGTCAGACCACAAGCTCATGTACAAGTCAACACAATTCTGTAGATAGTTTGCTTGTCTTTAGGATATGAGGAATTTTAAAATAGGAAAAGTCTTGTGAACTAGGAATCGGGTTTTTATCTCATACCTACTTTTCCTGTTTTTTAGTCATTTCCACAGCAACAACCACCAGTGCTCCCTCTAGTACAATAACAAGAACTACGGGTATAATAAAATATGTATTTTATTCTTATAATACTAAAATTCACTTCTTTATTTTGACAAAAGATTTGAATCCAAATGCATCAAATATAACATGGTTGATGTCAATAATTGAAGCATCAAATCAAACAACAATAATCTCAGCTAGTCCATCATTTATGGATTTTGATGATCAAAATTACTTTGTTGTACTGGGTTATTATGGTAATCTTGTTCAAATGAACAGAACAACAATGAGTGTCATTCGTTCAGCAAACTTAGGGGCTTATTCAGCAGCATTTACTTATAGTAATGGTTATTATTTTATAGGTATAAAAGTAAACAGGGAGGCTTTTGTCATTTTGTTTCTTATGCGCTTTATTTGTAGCATCCGATGTTTCAGATCCTTTAATTTACATTTATTCTTCTCGAAATCTAACAAATTTGATTGCACGTATAAATGGTACAGGAACTCATTGTTTTTTTCGTCAAGTGGCATTTTTACAAAATTATACCATTATGGTTGCAGCTGTTGAAAACCTAAATACGATTCAGTTTTATCAAATATCATTTTCATCGTTTTCAACAACACTTTTATTTTCAATACCAGGGTTGCACATTTCTCCATATAGTTTATATAAAGTGAACGATACATTCTTGTATTTAGTATATTACTCTCCTTCTGTACCCATCTACATTCTATCATATAACAATAGTGACAACTGGACATTAAAAGCACTGAACGTCACAACGCCAGCGTCTTCGGAAAGATCAGCACAAATGACAGTTGATTCATATGGACGAATTTGGTTTGCTATCTATAACTATGGTGTGAGAATATTTGATTCCACTGGTTCCGTCTTACTCTATAGTTGGCCAGTCTCAACTGGATTGGATGGGATACTGTTAACGGATAATTACGAGTTGTTTTTGGCTGACTATTCCAACAGCAAAATTTACCATTATAAACCAAACATAAACTAGCAGTCAATAACACTCGTGTAAATAAAATGACTCATAAGTATGGTTCTTTTGTGTCCAGTGATAAAATTGAAGATCAGGCACGTTTATCAGCTCGGGGTTTCCAGAAAAACATGGGTCTTTTGGTGGCGGTAGTTTTTTGAGACAGTGCGGAATATATTTTGAAAGAAATCCTTAAAGAGCGCGTTTCTCGAAATTTAAAAAGTCGAAATTACAGTTTTGTAAAACTCACTGTTCGGGTTAAGCAAAGCAGCTATCATGACTTTTCAACAAGGCATTTTAAACAAGTGCATGAAAACTGAATGAAAGTACAACAACTCCTGTGTGATTTCTTATGAGTGCTTCTCCCGAAAATCTTTTCCAGAACACATATTAGAAGATTTTTCTAAATAGGCGCTGGAAAGACATATTCCAAAGTCCTGAGTACTTTTAAAAGATTTATCAGAGAGTCATTTTATTTGTTTTATTTGGCTAAACAGTGGGTTTTGAAAAATGTTGAAATATAAATTGTTATAAATCTTATATTAAAATCAAACAACTCGTTATTTGAAATTTAGTGTACGGGTGTTTCACTCATAATTCTCGTCTTCAAAAGATACCTGAATGAAGACTGATAGTGGAAACCTTACGCAACTACCTTTACGCAGGATTTTCCCATGATAATCCTAATACATAAACTGTGCAGGTTCTATCAGACCTAGCAGTATAAAAGTACTGCTTAAAGGTAAGGAACATCCCCAGATATTTTAATACCGCCAACCCTCTGGATCCTGCATGAATTCTGATTATTTTTTTCAGTGGATAGTTATGTAAGGAAACTTAGCAGCGGATTCGACTATTTCTTGCTGACATTCGCTCTCAGACTTGTGTTGTATTTCTACTTCATTGTGTTAGATACAGAATTAAATACTCTATCGAACGGTACTATTTTCGATGGGGGTCATCGAGTAAAAACGCGCAGTTTTCGCCTGGAACAATGGGTTTTAGGCCCTTTCTACCAGTATATCCTGCTGATATACGCTCTCAGACCTGTGTTGAATGTCTACTTCCTTACCCAATGACCTCCATCAAAAATAGTACCGTTCGATAGAGGATTTAATGCTGCATCTAACACAATCAAGTAGAAATTTGACACAGGTCTCAGAGCGAATATCAGCAGGATATACTGGCAGAAAGGGCCTAAAACCTAGTGCTCCAAGGCAATACTACCCGTTCTTACTCGAGGACCTCCATCGAAAATAGTACCGTTCGATAGAGAATTTAATTCTGCATCTAACACAATGAAGTAGAAATACAACGCAAC